CCCATGTGGAATAAACTGGAATATAAAAGATTGAGGCTTGCTTTTACTTTCAAGCTGCCCATTCCAGTGCACTGAACCTTCTGTGTTATTAATTCTGTTTTTCTTCCTGATTGCATTTAAAATAGCTCAGGCTACATACAGCAGTTTTTGGTTGGTTTATGAGTAAAAATGGAGGATGTGCTTTTGAATTACAAAAGTGGTTGCTAGCTCTTGTGGTCAGCTTATTCCCAATGCACTCTGATCCTGTGGGATCCTGGGCTTCAGACAGAACTCCTTTAACACATACCAATACTTAATATTAATTGACAATTTATGTGATCTTTTTTGTTACGTTCGTCTTCCATTCATAGTAACTTTTCTCTCTAAAAACTTCTAAAACACCAGAGAAGGGAGGAGGAAAATCAGTTTGGGAAAGATTATAATGGAACATTGAGCTGGTTAGTTCTTGGGGTTTTTTTACTCCCATAGGATCAGAGTATCATAGATTCAACAGTGTGTTAAAATCTGCAACTTTTCACTGAAAAATGTGAATCTGGGCCATAGGTGTGACCCAGAGCTCCCCCCCACGAGTTCCCAGCAGCCTAAATCACTGCATCTGGGTGGGCATTTCTCTCCTGTAGTCAATAGTTGTGTTCCTGGGATTTCAATACTGGCTGTTTTCCTTCTCCTTTTTTCTAACTGTAAAAGCCTGAATTGTGATAACTTCTGTAACTGGATCTAACCTCTTGTAAACAGATGGCTGTGGAAAAAGTGCAGGGCATTAGTCGATTGGAGCAGCTCTGTGAAGAGTTTTCAGAAGAGGAGAGAGTGAGAGAGCTGAAACAAGAGAAGAAACGCCAAAAGCGGAAGAACAGACGGAAAAATAAATGTGTGTGTGAGATCCCTGCTCCTCTGCAGGCAGCAGAAGAGAAGGAAATCAATCAGGCAAAGGTAAACATGGATAGCTGGGGCTTCATCCATCAGCTCACTGTTCCATGGTAGAATTCTTGAGGGATTTTATTGCATTTTGGTCACTGGTGGAATTTAATTCCAGATGAGCAGAGCCTTTGTAAAGTAATTACCTGGGACTCCTCCACTTTTGGGGTTTGGTGGGGGTGGGTTTTGTTTTTTAATCCTAAATCTGAGGTTCAGGTTATGGCAGATTATTTGTCAACTGTGACTTCTTAAAGATCACTCCAGAACCTGGGGACTCCAATGCTACTTGTAGACAATTACCATTGAATTTTTGGAGAGAGAGAATGTTTAAGTGGAATTACTACTCGGGATCTCTTGGCTGACCTTAATGAGCTGTGGCCGTGGGTCAAGGTAAATTGGTTGGGGTTTTGTTTAGTGGTGTTGTACTTGTGAAGAATTCTAAGCAATGGTGTTATCAGTCAGTGTCAGCTGGTTTTTCTCATGGAAAGAGTATCCTTTACAAAAATGCTGGCTGAGCTGCTTTCAGTGCCTGCAAGTGTTTTTTGTTTCTGTTTGAAGGAGAACTCAAACTTCACGGAAAGCAGCTGCAAAGCCTGTGGTAGCACCGAAGAAGCCAACAACTGTGTAGAAGTAATTGTTACTAATGAAAGCACTTCTTGCACTTGTCCTAGTAGTGGTACCCTATTAGGCTCACCTAAAATCAAGAAAGGTATGTTAAATGTTAATATTTTTCATTTTAAAAAGCATTTGCCATTTATGGGGTGAACAGTGGTCACCTGGTTTTAAAAAGGAGCCTGCCCGTGGCAGGGGGGTGGAATGAGGCGATTTTTAAGAACACTTCCAACCCAAACCTGTCTGGGGTTCTCAGAATTCTTTCTTGTTAGAGGCATAACTAAAGAATGAGCAGCAGTTCCTACAGATGGCAGTAATTTTGGCCTCTGTCTCAGGTTTATCTCCACACTGTACTGGCAGCGACTGTGGCTATTCCTCGAGCATGGAGGGCAGCGAAACGGGGTCCCGGGAGGGCTCGGACGTGGCCTGCACTGAGGGCATCTGCAACCATGATGAAAATGGTAGGTTTGGGAAGAAGATAATGATGCTTTAATATCCCCAGAGCTGCAGCATCTCAAAAGAAACTTGGCTGTGTTTTGCAGGGGACGATGCCTGCGTCCATCGCTGCGATGACAAGGAGGAGGATGGAGACAGCTGTGTGGAGTGCTGGGCTAATGCAGAGGAGAGTAACACAAAAGGCAAAAACAAAAAGAAGAAAAAGAAAAGTAAAGCTTTGAAGTGTGAGAACGACCACGTAAGGAGCATGGCCCTGCCAGATGTTTCTCTAAATGCTTACATTTGAAAGTAGTTGCGGAAGGATTTTAAATTCCAATTGAGACTTACACTGAAAATGGGACAGTGGGGGTCTGCTGTTCCCTTGTCATCCCAGGTTTTGGAATTGAGGTCCTTCCTAGAGTAGGTTGTGGTGAAGTCTCTTCTATGTCCCTAAGCATGTGCACTTTTACTCACTCTCAGTGAATGTGCCACCCCCAGCTCCCCAGGCACACGTTTAAATACGAATATTTACCCTTGCTCACCTTTGAACCTTCCTCTTTTCCCTCTGCTTCCATCTTAAACTTGAATATTCCATTTAAAACATCGCTGGCAGTTCATTGCAGGCTCTTTTCCATTTCAGATTCAGAAACTTGGGAGCTGTCTGGCAGATGCAGGTAGCAGAGAGACCTCAGGAAATCTCACGCACACAGAGTTTCACCGCGACAAGACCAAAGACACACACGCTGAGAGCTGCTGTAGCGCAGACAAAAGTGGCCAGCAGTTGCCTTGGTTTGAGCATATGAAAAATGTGTCAGAGTTTGCAGAACCTACAGAAATGTCACTTGTCCCCGATACTGGAAAAGGTGCCAAAAGCTTAGTGGAACTCCTTGTAAGTAACCGCTGCCTTCAAATTTTAGGTTGTAGCATCCTGCTTTAATCTTCGGGGCTGAGAACCAGTGAGGAATTAAGTGCCAGTGTTCAGTTCAGTTCCTTGTGCATGTTCCCTGAGAAGTTTATAATTGAATGCTTTGCAGAGGAGGAGAAATTGTCACTGGAATGCAGTGACAGAGCTTGTGTTGCAAGTGCTTATTGTCAAGGATTGCATTATTCCGTAACATGAAGTGGGCATTATTGCTGCCTTCAGGCCGCAAATGTTACTTCCCACTGCAGCTCCTTGGGCAGCTTTCTTCTCTCTCCTTTCCTTCTCCTTCCATTTATTAAGGTACTTTGCTCTCTTTCCCTACTTTTCTCTTTTTTTTCTTTTTTTGTTTTCATCTTCCCTCATTTTTCTCTCTCGTTCCCTACCTTTTCTTCCCTTTTTCTTTCTCCACCTTTTCCCCAAAACCCTCTGATAAAATCCATCCTCTTCCCGTGGGAATGTGCTAAGACTGAAGTGGATTAGGATCCATTTCATGACTGACCTGGCTCACCCCAAGCCAGCAGAGCTCAGTGTGAGCAGGGTGTCCAGCTCAGCCAGCTGGGACTGGGGCTGCTGTGCCAGGGAAGGCTGGGGACAGATGTGCTGCACAGGAGGGCAGCCCTGGAGCTCTGAAATCCCCGTTCTCATTGCAGGATGAGTCAGAGTGCACTTCTGATGAGGAACTGTTCATCTCCCAGGACGAAATCCAGTCGTTCATGGCAAACAACAAGTCTTTCTACAGCAACCGGGAGCAGTACCGGCAGCACCTGAAGGAGAAGTTCAACAAGTACTGTCGCCTCAACGATCACAAGGGGCCCGTCTGCAACAGCTGGCTGGCAACAGCTGGAGCCAACTGAACCCGATCCAACTCTGTCTGTCACTGAAACTCGAGATGACTACTGCGCCTTCTCCTTCCAAACTTAATTTAGTGACTTACGGCAAAATTTTATCTTAAATTAATGTGATTCTTTTTTTTTTTCCTTGGTTTTTTTTCCAGGGGGAGGCTGGTGGAGGTGATTTCCTTAATTTTGTTCTTTCTCCAGGCTTGTATTTTTAGTTGAGTAGCTGTGCAAGCCTCTCTTCTAATTTAAGCCATCTCTTTTCATTCAATGTTTCTCTTCCTGTGAGACTTACAAAAAGCAAACTAGTGGCAAAGTAATGTTGTACCTATAATTCTGTACAGAATGACAAGGAGCTGAATATAAGATTTTACAAAGTAGACATCCATTTGCAAAATGTTTTGGATGTAATATGTTAAAGCGCAATGTGCAAAAATTTAAATAAAGAATATTTATTAATATGCATAGTAAAGGTGGGCGTCTATGTTTGTACTGGAGTGCTCAGTCCCTGCGGTTCAGGAATGAGGTGGGGGTGAGGTGAGGGAGCTGCTCTGGGCAAGGACAGATCCTTGCAAACCTGTGCTGCTGCAGGGATGTGCTGTGGGGATGGTGGAGTCGCTGCCAGCCCAGCAGGGACTGTGAGTGCCCGGCTGTGTCGGTGGCACGGTCCCAACCTGGCACTGCTCGGCATCAGGTGCCTGTTCTGCTTCCAGGAGCTGGGATAAGGGATGGCCACGGAGCTGGCAGGGGCTCTGCCCTGGCAATCCTGGTGTGAGGGCTGTGCCCAAGGAAGGGCAGCACGCTTTAGTGGGGGGGATGGATGTGGAGGGTGCAGCTTGGGCCATTCTGGAGGCATTGTTGAACCCCACACTTTTCCTTCATCAATTCAATACCTGCACTTCTGCCTCTTGTGTTCAATTAACCCGTTTCCTCACACATTACTGGGAATTATTTGAGCACCCTTGTCCCTGGGGCGGGGGATAACAGCCCCTTCACCGCGCAGCTCATCCTCTGCTCTCTCCGCACCCGTTTTATCCCTCTCAATCCTCGCTTGGCTGCGGGGGAAGGAAAACCCCAAACCCCGCTCCCATCTGGGTCGCTGGGGCTGAGCCCCGGCGCACTCAGGGGATGGAGGGCGTGTCCCCTGGGCGTGTCCCCTGGGCGTGTCCCCTGGGCGTGTCCCTCGGGGCCAGGGGCGTGTTCCCGTTCCCGGGGCGTGTTCCCGTTCCCGGGGCGGGCCCGGCGGGCGGTGCTTTGTGCGGCGGCGGCGGCGGCGGGGCCGGGCCGGGGCCATGGAGCGCTGGACCGGCCGCGTCGCGCTGGTCACCGGCGCCTCGGTGGGCATCGGCGCGGCCGTGGCGCGGGCGCTGGTGCAGCACGGCATGAAGGTGGTGGGATGCGCTCGCAGCGTCGATAAGATCGAGGTACCGGCGTTGGCGGCAGCGGGGGGGGGCCGCCTCCCCACGAGGCCGCGGCGGAGCGGGGCCGCTCCCGGCTCGGCGCCGGGGATGCCGCGGCCAGCCCGGTCCCCGGGCCGGGTGGAAGGTGCCCGAGCGAGGAGCGGGTTCAATTTTGGGGTTTTGTTGTTTTTGCTGGCTTTTTTTTCTTGTTTTATTTATTTAATTTTTAATTTTTTTTTTTTTTGAGTCACTTCTTATAGAGGTTAAAAATAGCATCTCCCCGGGAGCGGGGCCTCTCCAGCCCCTCGGAGATGCGGCTGCTCGGGAGGCAGGGCGATTTTAGGAGTTCCTGTTAAAGCAGGGTTCGCTCCTGCAAGGAGCATCTCTACAGCCCCGTCAAAAACCTCATGGCGCTGGCTTGAGAATAAAGATGCTTAAAAGAAATGTTTTCTCGGGATCCTTTCCCTGCCTTGGCCAGCGGAGCCTCGCAGTGGCCAAAGCTCATTTGCGGTTTGGGAAGTTTCCTCCGAGGGAGGTAAAATAAGTTTTAGTCGTGTTCAGTTTTGCCATCCTGGGTGTTTGGAGCTACAGGAGAGCTGTACAATCCGCAGGGCTGTGTTTCCCTGGCCGAGGTGATAAGGGCTCTGCACAGCTGACTGTCCTGAGAATAAATGGTCCAAAATTCATGGAAACCAAGGCTTGGCATCGGTGGCGTTGCTCAGTGGGGTTGAGTAGAGAAATGCTTGGGAAAAGCCAAACTTTTCCCGTTTTTCATTGCGTATCGCGGAGGCGCCGCTTGCAGAGAGAGAACACCGGCGTGACTTAGCGAGCTGTCCTTTGGGGCTTGCTGCTAATTTTGGACTTCCCAGCGTTTTGACGCTGCGGTTTGCAGGGAAAGCTGAGCTCTCCCGAGGTTTTCCCACGGGCAGCTGCCGGTGTTGGATGTGCTGGAGCCTCGGGGTGCCTGGCAAAGGATGCTGCAAAGGATGTTGTTACTTCCCATTCCCACCCCCGAAAGTTATTTCCAATATTGCTGTTTCCAGTCGTGCCCTTATCTTGGATTTTGTTTTGGAATCTTTTCATTTGGGAAAGAAATCAATGCAACTTGTTTTCCCTTCGTGAGTTCACGTGAGTTTCCTTCCTCTCTGAACCTTTCCTGGCCAAAATACAGCGTGGATTTCAAAACGAGCAGCGCTGTGAGGCTGTGGATTTTTGTTTGAACCACGAGCAATGTCTGCTGGGTTGGGTTTGTCCGGGGTGCAGATGTGCCCTGTGCTGCTCCCCGGTGTCCCGAGGTGTCCCAGACACGAGTTCCCACTGATATTTGTCCCCGTTCCCTCCCTCCTCCCCGGGACCCAAGCGTGGCTGCAGCGCTGGCATTTGTTTCGGTGGGGTGTCTGGACTGTGTTTTGCTCCGCTGCTATTCTGGGTTTATTTATTGTCAAGCATGTTTCCTTAACGAGGGAGAGAATCCCGGCAGCGCTGGGGAAGGTGGTGGAGCGTGGGGGGATCCAGGGTCACTGTGGGAACAGCTCCATCACCTCCTGCCTGCCAGGGATGCTGGGGGAGCTTTGGACCCAATCCTGCCCAGCAGAGCTTTCCTCCTCCAGCAGATTCACCTCCAGGCTTTCCCTTAAAAAAAAAGTACAATAAAATAGGAAGAGATCCAGACTTGGAACTGTTGAGCTGGGGATTTGATTGGGGGGGATTTGAGGGCTGGAGCACAGTGATGGAGGGAGGAGAGAAGAGGGTTTGGTGATGCCAGAGCACCACAGCCGTGGTTAACAGGATCATGGAATCCCAGGTGCTTTGGGTTGGAAGGAACCTTGTAAACCATCCCATTCCAACCCCCATGGGCAGGGACACCTTCCACTATCCCAGGGTGCTCCAAGGCAGCTTGAAATGGAAAAAGGACAAGCAGTAGGGTGAAAAACCTGGAATGCAGCGCTCACTTGGTAACACAAAAACATCACATTCCGTTAAAGTTCATGGAAGTCAGCAGTTTTTAAGGTGAAATGGCTGGAACCCCTGTGTGAGGTGGTTTTGTAACCTCCAGCTGACTGAAAGAGCAGGTTGTCTGGTGGGGATTTAGCTCGGGCAATAAATGCTATGTCAAGATTTCTTAATCTCTTGGAAAATCAGATAAGGGCTTGAGGCAAGATAACGAAGGATTTGCAAAGTTGCGTGTTTGGCATTAAATCCATGTCACAACTCCAGTGGTCTTTATTTGACTTTTGAAATAAAAATGTTAATGGCTCACAAAAAAACCCCCAAAACCTGCAGATGGATCTTTTTCCTTTTCCTTTCAGTGGCTCCACTGGCCACATTTCCCTCTCTGCTCCCAAGCAGCCCCACTCCTGCTGCTTCTGCTACTGGAGACTCCTGGGTCATCAAACAGGAGCTTTAACAGCCAGACATCGAGGAATAAAATATAATTAAACTGGCTGTATTTTCCTTTTGCATGCCAGGAGGTAATTCAGGTTGAAGGCTTGTTTTAAATGCAGAGCCTGGAGGTACTAACAGCTGTCAAGGACTCTTTGGCGTGTGCTCAGCGAGTGTTTGCTGCTCTCCAGACACCGCCACGCGTTCCAAGTCGGGAGCTTTAATGAAAGCCAAGCGTTTTTAGCAGCTTGGAAGACCAGGCTTTGGAGGGGAAAATGCTCCCTGGGAGATATCACCCTCACAGTGACCCCCTTGCTGCTCCTGGGGTCCCCAGGGTGCAGAGAATCACTGAGTTTCAGCCACAGCCACTCTGGTGCTCTTCAACTTCACTGCTCCTCGTGTTCTCCAGGAATTTCTACTTTGTGTCTGACTTCTTGCAGCACAAAAAGGGGGAGAATTTGCACAGGCATGGGATGAAATGTTCCCCCCCTCTCCCAGCTGGCAAACCCCTCTCTGGTCTTTTATTCAGTGAGATATGTGAGGTTTATTTTGCAGGGTTCTTCACCAGGGAGGGGAAGAATTGGGAGGGTTTTTCTGGCTCAGAGGGACTCTGCAGCTTTTCTCTTGCAGCAGGAAGGCAGGAGACAGGGAGCTGTTTCCAAGGGGTTTGCAGTGATGCTGGTACTAGGCTTTTTTAAATAATTAACATTGATTTATTTTATATTTATAGAGAATAGCAGAAGTGCTGGCAGGTGCTCTCCCTCCATCTGTGGTGTCAGAGCGTGGCTGGGGCTGGGAGATGCTCCAGGTGGGACAATCCACTTGCTCCAGGTCACTGGAAATCTTCCAGCAGCTCATTCATTCCTTGGATACCTTGCTCTGGTGTGACCAGGAACACCATGGATGCCATCTTCCAAAAGAAATCCATTTTTTTCCCATCTTTGTTGGCTTGCTAAGAGCAGAGCCGTGCAGGAAGCAATAAATGTGGCTTAAGATACAAGGTTTAACCAATTAATTCCAATGCATTTGTGACAGGTATTGATCAAAGGTAACATTTATAACCAGGCCCTGCTTTGTCAAGGTTAGATCTTGCTCAGGAAACAGCCTTTGGTACGCCGAGGAATTGATTGCAGGTTGGAGCAGCCCGGTCTGTGAGGAGGGTGTGGGAGGAGGAAGAAGGAGCTGAGTCTTCCTCGTGGGATCTGAGCATCCATTTTTGGGTTCTCTGGTCACTTCCATGAACCCTGAGGTGCAAGGGAGGCTCTGCAGCCCGTGGGTGCTGCAGGAAGGGTAATTAACAGCTAATTGAGTGTGGTGGTTCAGAGGTCACCTGGTTCCATTTTGTCTGTCCCTGGTGGGTCTGTCCCTGTGTCCAGCAGCCAGGATGGGTTTTGGGCTGTTCCCAGTGCCCAGGCAGGGGGAGCAGCTCGGGCAGGGCAGTCCCAAGGCACAATCCCTGTGCTGTCAATGACCTTCAGCATCTCCTTGGCCTCTGGAAGGGTTTGTTTTGTGTCTGGCCAAGGCTCTGCCTCGGGGATGGTGGGCGCTCAAGTCCTCTGCAGTGCTTTTATTGCCACTTGTCCCTGACCAGATCCTTCCCTGACAAACAGCAGAGATCCCATAATTGCTGTCCAGAGTGGGGGGAACAAATACTTCTCTGTCCTCGTGGTTTCCCTCAGCCTTGAAACTCGGGGGGCTTAAGCCAGGTTGGATTCCTCCTCTTCCTCCCCCAAAATGTGTTTTAAGGATGTCACTTTGCAGCAACCTCCCTTCTCTGCTGCTCTCCTGCTCCCTTGGGCTTTGCAATAGAGCAACAATACCATGCTCAGAGCCCTGAAAATAAATAATAGCTGAGCCTTTCCTGGGGTTTTAGAGCTGGGACGGGGGGGTGTGTACTGCAAGGAAGGTCAGGTGGCTGTCCTGTGCCTCAGTTTCTCTGGCAGCTGTCCTGGGAAGGTGGGAGGGCTCTGCAGGAGCACAGAGGGGACTTTCTGGCCAGTTTTGGCTTTAAGGAGAGTGCCCAGGGCAGGGAGGTGTGAAAAGAGCTGTCACAGTGCTGTGAAGAAAATACAGTGGTGCTTTTGCTGGGCTTTATGAGCAGTTTAAGCTCTGCAGAAGGCAGTGGCTGTGCTCAGGTTGGGTTTTTCCCTCTCTCCTGCTCAGGGTCCTGGTGGGCAGTGCCAATGGGGATTTCCTGGCTGGCAGCAATTCCCCAGGTGGGTTTGTGCCACCCTGGCTCTGCCGAATGCCAGATTTCTGTCCCTGCCAGGCCCGTGAGGCTCAGCCTGGGCCCTGCCCAGCTGAGCTGGGATTGGGCTGGTGTGGCTGCAGATTTTGGGTCACCTGGAGGTGTGTGAGCTGAGCAGGGCTGTCCCTGCTCCTGTCCCTGTCCCTGTTCCCGCTCCCGTTCCCGCTCCCCCAGCCCGGCCTGGGGCGTGCTGCGGCCTCATCCGCTGCTCCACGGCTCATAAACCCGGGCTGGGATAAAAGCCAGCCCCTGCCGGCTGAGTTTGGGAGCTGGGGAGCGCTGGGGGCAGGCCCAGGCATTAATCTGCCCCTGCAGAAGAGGATTCCTGGGGATTAGGGGCTGGAGTGGCCGCGGGGCCCTGCCAGCCCTGCAGGAAGGCCGCAGCGAGGGCGCTGCCAGGACAAGAGGCCACGCCGAGCTGTGACATCGGGGACTGCTCTTCTGGTGCTCCCCTGCTGCTTGTGGAGTGGCCTGGGACCCCCAGCTCGGAGCTCTCGGTGCGTTCTCATCCCATCTGCTGGGGCTTGCTCAGGGTGCTGGGCTGGGAAGGGCTTGTGGCAGGTCTGGGAGCAGCCCTGGCTGTCTCCCCACTCACCCAGGACAGTCTCAGTTTTCTGTTTTACTCAGGGTGGGTTTGTGCTGCTTGCCATGGACCTCTGATCACCCCTTACATTTTCAGGGCATCTCAGACCTTCGCTACTGCACGATTAGGCGGGGTTTGCTTTAAGTAAAATAATTTTTCCAGGTGGAGATGACGCAGGAGGCAGGATCTGGGGGTGTCAGGCAGAAGCTGGGGCTCAGCTCTGCCCCCCAAGCTGTGTGTGAGAGCTGCTGGGGCTCCATGGGCAGCCAGGCAGCAGCTCCAGCCCAAAACACAGCCCTGGGGCTGCTGCAGGAGGAAGGGAAGCGCCTCTGTGCAGGGGAACCTGCCCTGGGCAGGCTGAGCTCAAGGACAGGCAGGCTGGGTTTAGGACAGGCTGGGTTTGGGACAGGCACAGCTCAGAGGAAGGCAGAGACATCGCTCTAATGAGCTGTCACAGCAGTGACAGCAGTGTCTCCTCCTCCCCCACGCAGGCCTGGAGCAAGAAGTGAAAAACTAAAAGTGCCTTGACGTGAGGAGGGACTGAGTGAGGTAGCAGGGACCTCTGCAGGTTTGGCTCATGGGTGACAATGGAAATTGGAAATTAAGTGAGGAAAACCTATCCTGGGATGTTTAATTGCTGGGAAAGCGCGGGGAGCAGAGAAGGATTGGAAAAGAGCAGCGTGGCTCTGGAGCAGCCTGGGAGGACAGCTCCCAGCTCTGGGGAGATGTGATGATGGCTCAGCCAGACCCAGCTGAGCAGGAGCCTGGCTCCAGTGCCTGGGAAGAAATGTGGAGGAACATTTATCCCTGGATTGTATGGGCCAGAAGCTCTGGGTGTGATTCTCTCCATCTGGCAGGGGGGACACAGCTCTGAATCTCTCTCATGGTCACAGAGCGCTGTGGAAATAAATAAATGAACCCCACCCTAGTGCTTTATTCACTGTACATCTCTATTACGCTGTTGTACTGTTATTAAATCTTAATTAAAAGCAGCTTCAGACTTGCCAATCAGTGGAATGAAAGGGTCTGTAATCCCCCAGTTTTCTTTCACAGTTGTGATGCTGTTTGTTAGAATTTTTCTCCTTCATTTGCTTTAGGTAGCAGAAGTAATTGGGGTGACTCTGGTGCTTTTCCAGTTGGTTTCTTGGTGCAGTTCTGTGTTCAAGCATGAGCTCAGTCAGTAGGACACAAGTACCTGTGATGAATGGCAGGTTAGATTAAAAATTACCTAATGGCTTCTTCTAGCTTTAATCTCTCTGAACTAAATGTGTCTGAAGTTAATGGGATGGTTTGCCAAATAAAGCCCTCCTTGACTCTCTCCTTCTTCTCCCTCCTCTTTAGAGTCCCTTAACATTTTTATATCAATTAGTTCCGTAAAACCATTTTACCAGGACTGAATGTGAATGCAGGGCACTCACAGTGTATGCACAAAGGGCATTTAACCCTTTCTGGGGAGAACTGGTGGTTTCTGAACACAGCAACCCCATCCCATAAATGTGAGGCATCCTTTCAGACTGGGAGCACCTGGCTGCCCGTTTCCAAGCATCCAGAGATAATAGTGTGGTACAGAGATGCTGGAAGTGTCCCAGGCCAGGCTGGACAGGGCTTGGAGCAACCTGGGATAGTGGAAGGTGTCCCTGCCCATGGCAGGGGGGTGGAACTGAATGATCTTTAAGGTCCCTTCCAACCCAAACAATTCTTATTTCAGATTTCCATCGCCAGGACTTGCACTGGCCTCGTCTGTATTGCTGTTGCATTACCTGGTCACTCTCAAACTGTTTGTGAAAGATGGAAAACCAGCTTTTTTCTCATTTTTTTCTTCCTTGTGCATGTGGTGTGCTCAAAGTGGGATGAGCATCACTTGAGTGACTTAATGGATGCTCTCAAAAAAACTCTGCGAGCTCTGTAGCTCAGAGAGTTGCTTTTCAAAAGTCTCTTGCAAACTTGCCCGCAGTTGATGTTTCTTTGAAGAGTCTGTGATGACTCTTTATCTGTAGATGGTTGAAGCACGTTCAGCCCTGCCTGGATGTCAGCAGTGCTCAGCACCTGGTTTTCAAAGAGAATTTGTTAGCACAAGTGCAGCCTGAGAGATGAAAGGATCTGTGCTGAGCCTCGGAGGCAGCGAGACACCAGACAGGGAAAGAAAGGTTTTGAGAGAGGTTTGATTTCCCTGGCCAGTTGTGTCAGAGCAGCTTTTCTGCCAGGGAGAAAGGCCCTTCTCCTGGAGTAGCTGGAGGCTGACTGGGAGCAGAGGATGGGCAGCTCCAGCCCCGGTGGCTGCCCGTGGAGGGACCACGGTGGGGCATCTGATACAACCTCCCTGCTCTAGCAGGGCCATCCCAGAGCAAATCACATCCCTTGTTTCCTCTGCTCCTTCATCTGTGTCCCCACTGAGGGGCTGGACTGAGCAGGGAAAGGTTTCTCCAAGTGCTGGAAGCGGCAGCTGGAGATGGCAGCGGAGCTGTGAAACCTCCTGTGTCCCTCTGGGCTGTCAGTGAGCTCGTGTGTCCTTTCCTGTCCATGGTGATGGGCCCCTCTTCCCTCCAGCCAGCTCTCCTGGCACAGCTCCTGCTCTGGGAGATTCCTCCCAACCCCTTGTGCTAATTTTTGAACATCTTTGGCGTTGCCTGGTTTGCACTCTCGCACCAATTCGTGCTCCTTTTGCTCCTTTCCCCTCCTTTGCAGGAACGAGGCCCCATCTCTGGAGCAGTTCAGAACCTTCCAGCAGCCCTTCTTCATACTGCTGTGAATTTTCTAAATGCTGCTCTTGCAGATTTCCCCCCCTTTGACTGTTTTTTTAGTGTGTGCTCCAATGGTTAAAGGGAATACATTTTTCCACTCCTATCAGCACATCAGCAACAAGGTTTCCTGCATGGCAAAGTGCAGGCAGCCCCAGGAGGGCACAGGGAGGCAGGATTCAGTGCCAGGGGCACCTTTGTTCAGGCAGGGATGTTGTCAGCTCAGGGCTCTCCGGGGATCCTGACGCTGCTGGGATGGATCGATCTGAACCCGTCCCCTTCTCTCCCGGTGCTGGAGAGCAATAGTCATCATTCTTGTGTTCCTGCCGTGCCTTCCCTGAGCTGGGAACCGGGCAGGAGAGCCAGGAGAGCAGCTCCTGAGCCACAGCTGCACCCTGGGCTGATTTTGGCTTGTGGTTTGTGAAAGCTGCTGGGCTCTGGGAAAGGTAAAGCAGCAAAGCTGCAGCTCCCTGCTCAGGGCCTTGGCTCAGCCACTGGAAACACTGGGAATCGTTCACCAGGCAGAGCCACTCGCCCCAGAACGCTTCCAGTGAACGTGTTTGGGGTGCAGGGAGGGGTCTGTCCCTCTGCAGGGCAGGAGCTCGGAGCTGCCTTCATGTGCAGCCACTTCCAGCAGATTCCTGCGCTGGGCCTCGCTCCTCCTTTTATGAAAAGCTGGGAATTGCAGTCCTTGGAATGCAGGGAGGAGTGGGAAGGCTGCCCGTGGCAGGAGCAGGGCTTTATTGCACCCTCTGAAATGTCACTGTCGGTGATGCCGCTGCGGGCGACAGCGTCCGAGTGATTTGGTGGAGGTTTGGAGGCAGAGTCCATCTCCCCGAGGAACCAGACATCATGTGGCTCCTGCCTGGCGCTGGGAGCTGGCCCTGTCACTGCTGGGACACATCAGGGAGGAGATGCTGCCTCTCATTAGTGTCGGGGTGAAGGGCATCCTCGGGAGATGCGGTGACGGCTGCTCCCGGCCTTTCCTTGGCTTTGTGTCACCCAGCCTGACAAAAGGTTGGGATATTTGGAGTAATTCTTAGTCGTGGCTAGCGAGGAATTGTCAGGCACATCCTTTGCCAGTGTGGCAGGCTCGCAGCCTGGTGCCAGGGCAGGATTTATTTGTATTTTGCCAGCACCGCTCACCTTGAGCGGGATTGCCCAGGGTGATGGACGAGCACTGAGCGTGTCCTCAAGTTCAATAACTTAAAGGCTGAAGCTCTTAGCTTCTCCTGGATATTGATATCTCCTTTTTCTTGATTAGCATCACAGTGATTCCTCCCCAGTGCCAGCTTTTCAGCCCGGATGTGTTAGCCCTGGGGTGTGTTTCTCAGGATGTGGCTGCATAAGCTGTTCCACAGGGAGAGGGCTGCTGGCTGTTTCCATCCTTCCTGCTGCCTGTTTCCATCCTTCCTGCTGCCTGTTTCCATCCTTCCTGCTGCCTGTTTTTTCCCTTCCTGCTGCCTGTTTCCATCCTTCCTGCTGCCTGTTTTTTCCCTTCCTGCTGGCTGTTTTTTCCCTTCCTGCTGGCTGTTTCCATCCTTCCTGCTGGCTGTTTCCATCCTTCCTGCTGGCTGTTTTTTTCCTTCCTGCTGGCTGTTTCCATCCTTCCTGCTGGCTGTTTTTTCCCTTCCTGCTGGCTGTTTTTTCCCCTCCTGATGGCTGTTTCCCTGCTGCCTCTCTCTCTCCCCTAGAAGCTGGCAGCTGAGTGCCAGAGTGCCGGCTACCCGGGCACGCTGATCCCGTACAAGTGTGACCTGTCCAACGAGGAGGAGATCCTGTCCATGTTCTCGGCCATCAAGACCCTTCACCAGGGTGTGGATGTCTGCATCAACAACGCGGGGCTGGCCCGGCCCGAGCCCCTGCTCTCGGGGAAGACAGAGGGCTGGAGGACCATGATAGATGTGAGTATTCCCCAGAGGGAGCAGGAGCTGGGTCACTTTTCTGTCTCTTCTGGCCACCATCCACTCATTTCAGAGCTGAAATCATTTCAGCCTGCTCTGACGAAGCCCAGCTTTGCTGTTTGGGGAGTGGAAGGACTTCCTGCCCTGCTGCTGAGCCCTCACCTTGGAGGATGGAGACACAGCAGCATTTTTCCTTTAGCTCTCTGGCTTTCTGAAGGGTGAAGAGCCTTGCTTCTCTTTTTCTTCAATAAAGCAGGAAACCAAATGCCAGGCGCTGGGTTTTGCAGCTAATCCTGTTAGTTGTGGCAGTGGGTTGTAGAAATGGACAGATTCTTTTTGGCTTAAAAAGCTGTAATGCTTTTTGTCTTTATAGCTTAATTTTCTGGCCCTAATCTGGTTAGGGCTGGATGTGAATGAGAGCATTTCTTGTGCTGAAATGGGAGCTGAAATGCACATGACCCATCCCATTCACAACTTCTCCCTGGGTCCTGCTGTCCTGAGGTGCTGCTGGGCATCTTCCTGTGCCTTCACCATTTTTTGTCATAATTTGGGGGCCTTTTTTCTGAACACTGCAGTGGCAGCCACATGTGGGACCTCAGGATAGTTTGGGTGTCCTTGAAATGTCTCTGGCCAGTGAGGTGCTAGACCAGGAGCTTTTCATGGAGTGATTTCCCCTCCTGTGCCACCTCCTCTAATGCACGGAAGCGTTTAGCTCGCAGGAGGAGGAGTGGAGCTCAGGGCTGTGAGTAGTCCTTGTGGCACCTCCAGCAGCTCTGAGAGCTTGTCCTGGTGAAGGGAAGGACATGTCTGAAAAGCTGTTTGAAGCTGTGGGCTCAGGGCCCCCGTGTCCAGCAGTGGAGCCAGCTGGGAGGTGTCAGCTCCCCTGGCTGTTCCTCCAGGCTGCTCCTGGGGGCCATGTAAAGCAAAACAGAGAAGCACATTGAGACTTCAGACTCCTGCTGCCAGGGCAGGAGCTGCCATATCCTGGCTAATTAAGTTCTTGTTAGGATTTTGGCCTGGCTGCTGGCTGCTGTGACTGCAGCCAAAGCAAGCTCAGCTCAGCTTTGTCTGCCCAGCCAGGCTTTTGTGGGCTGCCCAGCCTGGGTCACTGCACAGCCGCATCTCCCCGGCCCCGGTTGCCATGGAGGCTTTAAAGAAAATGAAGTGAAGTGTAGCTGAGGCTGAGCTGGTGTTCAGCAGGGTCCTGGCTCGCTGTGAGCCAGGCCCTGGGGGTCACCTGGGCCTTGGAAAGTCCTTGTCCTGGTCCCTGGGACCGTGTCGTGTGTGGATCCCTCAGGGATGCTGCGTGTGCCTCGTGCTCCTTTGTTTTGTCAGGTGGGCAGGCTGGGGGACTTGTGGCTTTTCCCAGCTTCCCCAATCCATATTCCCCTCCCTGGCTGCTCAGCTGGAAGTGCTCCCTTTATCTGACCTTCCACCTTTTTAGGGAGAAAGATTTTGAGGTGGGGATCGTCCTGTGTGAGACACTCCAGTCAGTGTTGGTGCTTACCAACAGCAGTGGCTCAAAGTCTGGGAGCCTGTGGGGTCCCCCTGCTTTTGGGGGCTGTTTTGGGGTGGGATGGGTGACCCCACAAGGGCAGTGTTAGGAAACCAGGCTGGGGGAATGCTTTATTCCCAGGGATGATCCGTACGGCTCTCTCCGCTCTCACTGCTTGGCAAAAATGCTGCTGCAGCAGCCTGAGACACCCAAGCTTTCTCCCTGTGCTGGCAGATATTTCCCTCTCACCATCCTCCCAGCAGCTGCTGGCTTGGCTCCTGGTTTCTGTGTTAATTGAACAAGGCTCGAATGTAAAGGCAAAGCCCTGGGATGCTCCAGAGCCCAATGCCTCACCCATCCCAGCCTGGGCAGCCTGGCAAGCCTGGGCTTTGCTTTTTATTTTTATTTTTTTTCTTTTTTTTTCTACTGCTGATGGCTAGAAACAGCTCAGTGGAGTTTCCCCTTTTGTTCTGTGCCCTCTTGTGTGGCTGCCTGCTGGTCATGTCACTGTCTCCAGGCTGTGCAGGGCTGGGGGGCTCTGCAGGGCCAGAACCCCCTGCCAGGGCACCCATCCCCAGGGCACCCATCCCCAGGGTACCCATCCCCAGGGCACCCATCCCCAGGGCACCCATCCCCAGGGCAGCCCTGGCCAGGCCCCTTCCCTCACAGGGAGGGCTGCCAGCACCTTTCATGGGCCACTGGGCTTTGCAGAGCTGTGTGGCAGCAGGGAGGATTCTTCCCAAGCTTCCTTGGAGAGCAGGGAGATGCTGTTGGAGACTTCCAGGGCACCTCTAGGCTGCTGGATGGGGAAAGTTTCCAAACAGCCATGGAGCCATCGATTTAGGAGGCATTAGGGCCTTAAATTAAAGGCTGTTTTTTTTCCTTTTTGGTAAATTGATTTTTGCTTCCATGGATTTTTTATGAGCTTTGAGGCTCCGTGTCCTTCCAGATTCCCCTCTCAGTATCCTCCTTCTTGCTCTATATCTAGCAGCCAAAACCCCATGTTGTAATTTACTTATTCCTCTCCTTTCCTAATGTTCCGGTTCTTTATTGTCTGCTATTTATGCCCAAGGTGGGAGCTGCTTCTCCTCAGGCTGCAGGATGTTTGGAATTGTGGATGTGCTGCTTTACAGAGCCCTGCCTTGCCAGCCAGCAGATCTGCCGTGGGTGCAGGAGGGAAGGTGTCACCTCAGGCAGGTTCTGAGCCCATCCTCCCCTGGCTCACAGCTTCCCCCGTCTTCTCACTGCTTTGTGAGGCTGGAGCAAAGTCCTGCTCTGCAGGAGGAGCTGGGGCTGGCTGCTGTGTACACACCAAGCCTCTGGGGCTGCAGCAGCTCCTTCACGCTTTACCCACTGACCTTTCCAGCCAGGAATTCAAACTGAACTCCCCATTTTCCCTGCTCAGGGCGCAGAGGGCTGCAGCACACATCCTCTAAACACAGAATGGGTTTGGTTCTTGGCATTATTCACTGACAAGCCAGGCTCTGTTCTTCTTGCTTTTCTGAGCCATCTGTGCAGGGATGTGTTTGCTGTAAGCTGCGTTTCCATATGTGCTCTGGGGCTGGGGCACTTGTTTGGATGCCTTGGAAAAGGCTGATTCTGGGAAAGTGAAATGCTGAGCACTTCTAGGAACAGGATCTTTTATGTTCTCTGATCTGGCAGTTGGAGCTCGTTAATTGCTGGGAAATGTGGCACCGTGGTTTCTGTCACAGAGCTGCTGCCTGTGCACTGAGCAGGGCCCAGGTGTGCTGGCCATCCTTGCCAAGTGACCTTTGAACCTTTTCTCCTTAAAATAGGAGGGAGGCAGAAAAACATCTGATGTGGATATTTGTAACAGCAGCCTCTGGGTGATGCAGATTTGCTCATTTTCCAGGCTTGTTTTTAGGTTCCTCAGTGCCTGTTCCACGTTTTGAAATGGGATTTCACCCCAAAAACCAGTCTGTGCTGGTGGGAAAGGGCTATCCCAGCTCAGCTGCCTTCCAGCCAGTTGTTTTGTTGTACTGTGGGGTTTTATCACAGGGCTCTGGACTTTCCCATGTGGTTGTTGATTGGGATCTTGCTTTGCCAGGAGCTGTCAAAATCTTGTAACTTTGCCCAGGCCGGGAATGGCTGCTCCGTGAGTCACAGGCTTTGGGGTGATGTTACCCTCTAGTGGCCTTTGGAGAGGGAGTTGGGGTGGCTGCTCCAAAAACGAGCTGCCTGGTGGGCTGGGGCATCCTGAGGCGGGGATCTTGTTTGGCATGAAGGGTTTTACACCAGCAGTTGCCCAGATCCATATCCCAAAGGACTGGGTCAGGCTGGAGTGGGTGTCTCCTGCCTTCCCTGACACCCTGCTGAGGAATCCCAGAGCCTGCCCGTGCCCTCCCTGCTCTGGGCTTCGGTGCTGAGGGGCCCTTCTGCTGCTTTCTCTGCTCATTTTCTTCCTCACACAGCCCAGGTGAATGAATTCAGGTTAAAGCTTTATCTCTGCAGCTCCAGGTGTGATGGCCGAGGTGCCCAGCAGTGACTCCGTGCTTGACCAAAGTGCACTTGCATGGGGGTGATGACTCCACTTGTGTTGCTTGGGTACTCCCAGGATCAGATAAACACCCTTTTTATCTCTGGCCAAGACAGAGCCCTCAGGGATGGCCTCTGGGGAATAAAAACACCAGACAAAAGCAGTGACTGAGATCCTAGAGCTGACCCTGCTCCACTTTGTGCTGCTCAGTAATTGCATGTCTGCTCCATCTCTTTCCAAACCAGTGTCTCTCTCCTGCCTGTCCTTTTGTGCCATCAAGTCCAACTTTTTCTTCCCCATTCTTGTTTGTTATTTTCCCAGTGCTGATCCCCAGCCCTCTCCCATCTCCATCCCTTGCTGTTGGCCTTGTTCCTGCTGCTCCACCCATTTATAGTGGCACCTGCCTTCTGATTCATCAGGAAATCAGTTCTTCCCGGAGGTTTCACCCACTGCTGTGTGTTCAGACCCTTCTGGGCTGCTCATTTAGCTGGCAAAGTGACCTGACCCAGTGTTAGCCAGGACCTGCTAGGGGATGGTCACATCCTTTCTGGAGGCCTTCAGCAAAACCCCTTCCAGATCTCAGCCACTTGAGCCATCAGCACTGCTGAGATTCTTTCTCATCAGTCCTGCAGGTATCTCTGGGCCCTTTGAATTCCAGCTGGGATAATTTCCTTCTCTTTATCTTCCCAGCAGCTTTGACTCTGTTTTATGGTCAGGGAATGCAGCCGTGCATTGATGCTTGTGGAGGCGATAGGACCGAGTTTAACCAAGCCAGGGCAGTGGGAAGTGCTGGTCCAAAGAGCAAGAGCCTGGAATGCTCTGGATCCCAAAGGGCTGGGTAAATTGCCACTGAGGGCTGAGGAAAATGTCAGCAGGCAGTGACAGATCGGTGGCTTCCACACCCCCAGGGTGAGTTGCCCACTCTGGTGCTCCCTGTGGCACAAAGTGATCTTTGCTTCCTGTGCCTGGCCGCTCTTTTGGTGCCTCCTCTGGTGCTCTGACAGGCAGGACCTGGGGATTTCCTCATTCAGGACTGACCTAATTACCTGCTCTTAGTGCCCTGCCAGCTGCCCAAAGGCTGGAGTGCTCAGTGCTGGACAGAGCCAGCTCTGTCTCCTGCCCACCGTGCTGCCTGTGGGGACACAGGCGTTCGCTCTCCTGCCTTTGGGCTTCACCTTCACACTTGGCCCTAAAACAACCAACTCCATTTATTTCTGCTCTCCCTGGGTGTCTGTGCACCCCCTGTCCCTGTGGCTGCAGCCCCCAGCTCAAGTGTGGGGTTTGAGGAGGAGCAATTCCCTCTTTGGGTTTTCCTGGGAATTGCCCAGGGACAGGAACTGATATCCCAGATTTTGGGCACACGAGGGGCAAATCAAGGGGTGCTGGCCTTAATTTCTTCTTCTTTTCTCTCCCCTCAGGTGAATGTGATGGCTGTGAGCATCTGCACCCGGGAGGCCTATCAGTCCATGAAGGAGAGAAACATCGATGATGGGCACATAATTAACATTAACAGGTGAACAGGGGGTGTGGGATCAGCCTCGGGGGCTTCCTGCTCTTCCCTGCAGCACAGAGAGGATTTAAGCACTGGGTGGGGGCAGCTATGGGGACTTCCTTCCTCTTCCTTCCTCCTCCTCCTCACCTTGCACTGGAGTTTCAAGCTTGCTGTGCTGATGGGGTTTTTTAAGGATTGTGGTGGTTGATACTTCAAACTTAATCTTTGCTGGTCTAAAGCAAGCAAGACCAAACCAGGGAGAAAAGAGTAATCCAGACCAGGGAGAAAGGGATGATATCAACCACTCCTGATGGGGCAGGACTGAAGATTGATTTCTGGTCAGGAAGTTTTGGCTGTGTGGAGAGGAGCCTGTGGCGGTGTCTGTTCCCTGTGCCAGCCCCTCCCTGGGTTTGTTGTGATGCTCTGAGTGTCCTGTGGGTCCCTCCCAGCTACCAGCAGTGGTGTCCCTGTGTAACTTTTTTAATCTGTTTTTTCTCTCTTGATTCTGCTGCACTTCCTCTGCACTTCTCTTCACTCCTGGATTTCTCAGCTTCTCTGAGCTGAGCTCCTTGAGGATACTCCTTCATGGGGAGTTCTGCTTATTTCAGTTCTCTGGGTCCAAAGAAAACTCCAAAGCTCATTAGGATCTTGTTTCTCATGTTTATTAGGATGTTATTACAAAACTTGGCAGGTCTCTCCAGACTTTCTGCACAATTTTAATTCACTGCAACCTGGCACACTTTGGGCTCTGAAGGCACAAAATGGCCCTGAGCTGTGCAGCCTTTTTATCTTTATACTTATTCCTATCCAATTAACAATAGACACATAAATAATTTTTCTTAATGACCCAATGACCCACCACTTGTGTACTGCATTGCTGCATTTTCTATCCAATCACTCACTACTACCCAAAAACCTCTAGAAGAAGAACATGAAGAAGAAAAAAGAAGAAAAAGAGACATCAGTCTAAATCTTCCATATTTTCTGCTCTCTAAATTAGTTTAAACTCTAAACTAACTTTTTCTCCCAGTGACTTCAGAAAACTCTCTAATCTACACACTCACACTTTTAGCTTTTCTATCTAACTTTAACAGTTGTTTTCATGTAACACCATGAAAACACGCCCATAAATTTCACGTTATATGAAATTCAGCGTTCTCCTGGATCTCAGAGCCAGGCACCAGAGAGGAGGGCACACACTCTGTGTCTCAGACTGCACCACCCTGTGCTCTGTCCCCAGCATGAACGGGCACAGCGTGGTGCCCCAGTCCGTGGTGCACTTTTACAGCGCCACCAAGTACGCGGTGACGGCGCTGACCGAGGGGCTGCGGCAGGAGCTGCGCGAGGCCAGGACCCACATCCGAGCCACAGTGAGTGCTGAGTGCTCCCTGCTTCCCTCTGCCCTGCTGCCATTCCCTGGGACACAGCTTTTCCCTCTGGGGAAGAGCCAAGGGGGTGCAGAACCGTGCTGGGAATGGTCAGGGAGTCCTGGGGGAAAGGGTGGCTCTCTTTGCCAGGCTGAGGCACAGAAGGTCTGGGATGGGATTTTTTGGGTGCACTCAGTGGGCAGCTGCTTGTTGGGGGGGGTCACATCAGCAGAGGGAGGGGCTCAGCTGGGCTGTTTGTGCTCAGTCAGAGATTTTCCATGTTTTCCTTAGCTTCTCTGTCCCTCTGGGGTGTGGGAAGTACCTGCCACAGCAATCGTTAAGTTGCTCACTTCAACTGTTCCCTTAAAAAATGGGTGGGAAAAGAAAATAACAGGAAAACTACTTATTTTATTTAATTTTAATTTTTATTTAATATTAATTTTTATTTAATTTTTATTTAATTTCAATTTTTATTTAATTTCAATTTTTATTTAATTTCAATTTTTATTTTCTTTTTATTTTCTTTTTATTTTCTTTTTATTTTCTTTTTATTATTTTCTTTTTATTATTTTCTTTTTATTATTTTCTTTTTATTATTTTCTTTTTATTATTTTCTTTTTATTATTTTCTTTTTATTTTCTTTTTATTTTTCTTTTTATTTTTCTTTTTATTTTTCTTTTTATTTTTCTTTTTATTTTTCTTTTATTTTTCTTTTATTTTATTTATTTTTATTTAAATTTTATTCTTTTACTGGAAGGGAATTACAAATCCTATTAGGATGTGCTCTGCTTTATTCCAGTGTATATCTCCAGGACTGGTGGAAACAGGATTTGCTTTTAAACTTCATGATAACGACCCCGAGAGGGCTGCTGCAACCTATGAGAGCATTCGGGTAGGACTTGGAGGAATGGAAACAGAGGGAAGTGGCTCTGATTGTAATGGAACAATCTTCTGGCTGATGGTTCCAGAGAGTGCCCAGTGCACTCCAATGTCAGCCCTCAAACCTCAGATTTTCCACTGGTATTTACACACTGTGTAGGTTTTCATTTGGGTGCAGTTTCCAGCTCCTTACAGTTTTCCTTTTATTTTGATGCTTCTGTAAATAAGTGTCGGTCAGCTTTGCCATTTTGCAGGTTGTGACTTCTTCATTGCAGAGAAGATGTGACAAGCAGAGGTGCCAGCAGCAGCAGAAGTGTTGTCTTGCAGGTGGCAGGGGATTTCCTGTGGGAATTCCTGATGAGGATGGCGTTGCCTGACCTGGCAGAATTGCTGTGCCAGCAGTGAGATTATTCACAGCAGTCAAAGAATTATCAGCACCAGGCACATCCTTTGTTCAGTTTTTAATGGATTGGGTATTTCCTGCTTGCTTTCACCTCCTGGACATGCCCCAGTGACCCTGTCTGGCCTCATTATGGATGGGCAGGAGAGGAGGGATCTCGTGGGGAACTTTGGTGGTGCCCTTTGACCGGAGCCCCTTTGCTGTCATTGCAGTGTCTCAAGGCTGAAGATATGGCCAATGCTGTCATCTATGTCCTCAGTGCCCCTCCTCATGTACAGGTGGGCTGGGGATGGGGCTGGGGGGGCTGAGGGCTGCCCTGGCCTGGCTGATCCGCCCGGGATCAGCTGGGAGATCAGGGAGCCTGCGCTGGGGATTAGCAGGGATCACGTTTGTTTACACTGCTGGGGCTGTGGGATTGCTCTGGGATGGCACTGCTGGGGCTCTAGGATTGCTCTGGGTGTGGGGTGGCACTGCTCAGGATTTGGGATTGCTCTGGGATGGCACTGCTGGGGCTCTGGGATTGCTCTGGGTGTGGGATGGCACTGCTCAGGATTTGGGATTGCTCTGGGATGGCACTGCTGGGGCTCTGGGATTGCTCAGGATTTGGGATTGCTCTGGGATGGCACTGCTGGGGCTGTGAGATTGCTCAGGATTTGGGATTGCTCTGGGATGGCACTGCTGGGGCTCTGGGATTGCTCTGGGTGTGGGATTTCTCTGGGATGGCACTGCTGGGGCTCTTCACATCCCTGTGGATCCAGCAAAGGCTGAGCTGGCTCTGGGGCACGGCCCAGGCTCCCCAGGGAGTGATCACATTGCCAAGGCTGCCAGAGCCCCAGGAATGTTTGGACAATGCTTTCAGGGTGGGATTTTGGGGTGTCTGTGCACTGCCAGGAGCTGGACTAGATGATCATTGTAGGTCCTTTCCAACTTGGGATATTCTGTGATTCCATGATGCCAGGGAAGGACTGTGCAGGGCAGGGGAATGTGAGGGCTAGGGGCACGCTCTGCCCGTTTGGATGGGACCATCTGAGGTTTGCTGAGAGTCTGGGCTGCTGCCAAATGACATGTTGGACCTGTTCCCCCCAGTGTGAGGTGCTTGTGCTGCCCTTGGGACTCCCCTCCCGAGAAACACGAAATGCTTGGCCAGCTTTGGGCTGGAGGCAGGAGGAGCAGAGCAGAGTTCCTGTTGTGAGAGCAGACTTTGATCGCAAGAGGTTCCTCAGTGTCTGAACTCTGCTCCCTGGAGCAGGACGTGTCCCCTGACACTGCATCCCTGGGGATAACTGGCTTTTCTTGGCTTGAGAAGATAAAACCCTGCCTGTGGCAGCTCTGAGCCGGCCCAAACCGCAGCTTGAGCCCTGAGGTTCATCCTGCACCTTTGCCATGCACATTTGAGCTTCTGCTGCCTGCTAAAGGCAGAGCAGGTCCCTTCACCTCTGCTTTCCTCCCAGCTCAGTTAACCAGGCTCCTTGCAGGTCACAGTGCAGCAGAGGAGTGCCCAGTGCAGAATTCCAGTGCAGAATTGCAGTTCCACCCCTGCTGGTCTCTTGCAGATCGGGGATATACAGATGAGGCCCACGGAGCAGATCTCCTAGCAGGGAAGGAGGATGAGGAGCACCATGAGCAGCACCGTGTCCACTCCACCTGGAACCCTCTGGCAGCCCAGGGTTCCCTCGGCTGGCTGGCAGCGTTTTAATCAAGTACCAAGGATCATGTTTGAAGAATTATTTTTCTCTCCCTCTCTCTGAGCTGGTGCTGGTGCTGAGCCAGTTTGAAAAAAAACAACAAAACCAGAACCACAAACTCTTAGTGGGCCTCTTTCTCCCCCACTCCTTTCTGAAACTGCTTAAGAGTAAAAATGTATTTGAAAATAATGCAGGGAAGTGTTTTGTGGAAGATTGTTTGTCTCCAGGCTGGTTTATTCTTCCTTTTGCTTTCTTTTCAAGGTTTGTTTGATCTTAGTTGCTGATGCTGTGTGTGGACCTAGGTGAAGTGGCACAGGATGTTTGCCAGCTTCAGTGTGCTTAGGGTTTGAGATTTTCAGTGGGTGACACATGAATCCATCTATTGATTCTATCTATGAATCCATGCCTTGAGTTTATTTTCATGGGGTTGATTACTGATGGTGATGATGCATGTGATATTTTCTTTTTCTTTTGTATCCCACTGCTCTAACCCCAGTGTACAACCTCCCCCAGCCCTCCTTTCCCCTTCACATGAATCATGCCTGCCAAGTTTGAGGAAGTATAAATGTGTGTGCTTGATATTTCTCTTTTTTTCTAGGTAGGTAATTAGCTGGAGGAAAAGCACCTGTCCCTGGGCAGGTTAGGATGATAATCTAAGTGGCATAGTTACAGTAAGAGTGAGTTGTTTGGTATTTTTAATAAAAACTAAACGTGTGCTGTCTTGTGATCACCTCTATCCTTGGTATCATCTCCCAGCACTCTCGATGTTCTGTATGTGATATTTGCATGCATTGACACTTTTCTGGAAACGTGGATTGCTCTGGTGCTGTTGAAATGCTGGTGCTGAGGAGCTGGAAATGGTGGAAGTTTATTTTTGTGTAGAGACACAAACTCTGAGAGAGAGAGAGAGAGGGAGATGGAGTGGAACGAGCCATGCCGAAGGTGTGTGGAACGAGGAGAGATTTCCAGGGGCATTTGGGCTACAAAAAGCAGCAGGTGAAAGGTCTGGCTGAGGTCTCGTGTTGGGGCAGCCCTGGTGTTTGGCTCTGGGTTTACTCTGAGCTGAGGGAGAAGAGAATGGGCCCCAAAGCAGAGCTGGAGACTCTCTGCAGGGAGGTCTGCGTGTGTCCAGCTCTCCGTGGAGCTCCTGGACACGTTGCCTTAAGATTGCAGACCCTGTCCAGCTCCTGCTGGGCTCCAGGCAGCGTTTCAGAAGGTCAGGGATGGTCATTTGGTCAGAGCAGAGGACAGAGAGCTTGGGAAATTTGGCTTGGATTGTTTGGCTTACACCAGGAGAGCCCTGGGAGCTCATCTGTGTTACCCCTGCACAAGGGGACCGGAGCTGGGCCACCAAGACACGAGTTCAGCTCCCTGTACAGCCTTGGGCAAGTCACTTTACCTCTCTGCCTCAGTTTCCCTGCCTGGAAAATGGGGATAGTAACACTCACCTACCTCACAGGGGTGTTGTGAGGACTCACAAGCTTTTGTAAAGCACTTTGACCACGACAGGCGCTGCGTAAGTGCTGAGTGTTGATATTGAAGTATTACTATGAATTAAACTTGTGATACCTAGAATTCCTTGTGTCAAAGGTGAGCAGCTGTAGGAGGATACAAGGAGAAAACTGGCAAAATGTTCCTTTTCGTGATGGCAAAATCAAAAGGCAATTTTCCCCTTTTTTTTTCCTCTTTATTAACACATGGTGTGTTCTGTCCATTCCTCACCTGTTGCCAGTTTCTACTGACAAGTGCACCTGGATTTGGCTTTTTAATTTATTGTGAGTGAGATCCCTGTCCCTTGGGAAGTCTTGCACTGCCCTGCTCCAGGATGCCAAGGTGGTGCCCTTGTGTGGATTCCCAGCAGGTACCCTGGGCAGTTCAGGAGAAGGTGGTTGAACTAAAGAAGCCAAAAAAAAAAAAATAATATTGAGAAATTAGGAACTTCTGAGCAGGGAAAGCTGAGCAGGGATATGGGCAGCAGTGGTGAAACATTGAATTGTGGCAGCAACCGTGTGCAAAGTTCAGCAGATGTTGAAATGTGTGGCTGAGGAAGGGCTTTACATCTCCCTGTGCTGTGAAAGGAGGATTTGCAGAGAACTGCTTAAGGTGCAGAACCTTGACACAGGGTTTGTCCAGGTAATTGCTCCCTGCAAACACAGCCTGGCTGCCCTGCAGCAGTTCTGGTTTTTTCCCTGCCCTAAGAACATTTGTAAGTCTGATGTAAACTCGAGATGTGCAGTATATTTTTCCATCTGAAGTGTGGTTTTAGGGGATCATCCCTGCTGTCCTCCCCCACGAGGGAGAGCTCCTTGCGGGTTCGGTGGCCTTGGTGGCACCTCCTGCCACCTTCCTGGGCTGAGATGGGACACAACAAGGGGCAGTGAAACCCCTCAAACGCGAGGATCGGTGAACTGTGTAATTTATCAGTAGGTTTCTAATTGTGAACTGTAAAATAAAGAATAAAAAGAGAGGCACACTGTGGTTCGTCTGTGGTGTGTTTCGTTATTTTTGTGTTAAAGCTGAACAGTCTTTTTGCTGTTCACAGCCAAAGTTTTGTTTGGGGAACGATCCAGGCAGAATTCTTCCGCTTTGGATCTTTATGAGGAAAATCAGAATTTCCAGAGCTGGACAGCAGTTTTGGGAATAACCTGTGGAGGTGTGCCCGGGGCTCTGGGATGCTCTGCTCCCCGTTCCTTGGGCTCCGTCTGCGGTCACCGGGGTTCCCGGGGCTGAACGGGATCCGTTCCCCATCCGTTCCCGTTCCCGGGCTCTCTCCTGGATCCGTTCCCGTTCCCGGGCTCTCAGGGATCCGTTCCCGTTCCCGGGCTCTCCGGGCCCCGTTCCCGTTCCCGTTCCCGGGCTCTGTCCTGGATCCGTTCCCGTTCCCGTTCCCGGGCTCTCCGGGCCCCGTTCCCGTTCCCGTTCCCGGGCTCTCTCCGGGCCCCGTTCCCGGTGTTCCCGCCGGCCGCCAGGGGGCGCTGTCGCGGAGGGCGGGGCTCTGTTCCCGGTTCCCGCCGGAAGCGGAGCGGTGCCCGCGCGCGTGCCCGCGGCTCCGTGCGCGCTCCCGCGGGTTCCCGCCAGCCGAGCGAGGCCGCCGGTTCCCCCGCGCCGTGCCCGGCCGGGGCTGTCCCGGGCCCCGCGGGATGACCTTCCCCGCCATGGAGCGGGCCCTGCGGCTGGGCCGGGCCGGGCTCCGCTTCCGCTCCACCCGCGGGGCCGAGCAAGGAGCGCCCCGAGGCCGCGATCCCCCCGCACCCCTCCCGCAGGGCCCGGGGGCCGGCCGGGGGTCGCGGACCGGCCGGGAGCTGTTGCGGGCACAGCAGGACCTGCCCCGGGCCGGCAAGGGGAAGGGGCTGGAGCGAAAGGCGCTGTCCCTGGAGAGGACTAAAGGCTCCGAGATCCTGTTCGGGGTGGCCCCGTGCGGGCTGGCGCTGGCCCGGGCGCGGAGGGCCCTGTTCCGCCTGTTCCTGAAGGAGCCCCGCGGCGGCTCCGGGCGGCCCGTGAGGCCCGAGCTGGCCCTGCAGGCCGCGGCCCGCGGGGTGCCGGTGCTGCGCGTCCCGGGCCGGGCGCTGGACGCGCTGTGCTGGGGCCGGCCTCACCAGGGAGTGTGTCTGGAGGCCGCCCCGCTGCCCTTCAGGAGCCTGCGGGACGCCCAGGAGCCGCAGCCGGGGGATGGAGACAGCGGGAGCCGGCAGCCGCTGTGGCTGGTGCTGGAGCACATCCAGGATCCCATGAACCTGGGGGCCCTGCTGCGCTCCGCGTACTTCCTGGGGGTGGACAGAGTGGTGGCGACCCACAGCAACAGGTACGGGCCACAGCAACAGGTCCGGGCTCCTCCAGCCCCTCTTTCCCTCCCACACGGGTTTCCGGGCTGCATCACTCAGCTGATGTTTGAAGAGATTTCTGGGGCTGATGTGTAGAGCAGGGTTTGGGATGCTGCTGCTCTGCAGGCAGGCTGCGGGATGTGGGATTCCAGGCTCTCCCTGGACTCTTGTTTTAACCCATTCTGTGTTTCAGTTGTCCCACCTGTGACCCGTTTCCTGGGTTAATTCCTGAGCCCTCATTCTCCATAGGTAAACACATCTGTATAGTGAGTGGCATCTGGTGGAGGGTTGTAGAGACAGGAGGAGGAGGTACAGAACCAAAAATTAACCTGGATTTCTTCTCGTGTGACACTTTTCCATTCTTTTCCCCTTGCAGCTGCCCCTTGACTCCCGTAGTGAGCAAAGCCAGCGCTGGAGCCATGGAGGTCTTCGATGTTTACAGCACAGATGATCTGCAGGGCTTTTTGAAGGTACAGTGAGCCACTTCATTGGTTTTTTCCTTTCTCCAGGAGTACTCAGACACCGCAGGTATTACACAGAGGGGAGGCACTCAGGGTGCCCTGAGTTACTTGCAGTGTCTGTGCTGGGGCCAGCAGTGCTGGGCACACACCCCCAGCTCCATTCCCTCGGGTAGGGAGAGTGGCTGTTTTTTCTGGAAGCTGGTGGTGCCAGGACAGTCTTGTGGCTCTCGGCATGCCGGGGTTTGTCTCCCTCGGGTTGTGTGGCAGAGCAGCATCCCAGGGCCCAGGCACACGATGGCAGCATTGGGCAGCCTTTGGAGCAGGGAATAGAGGAGGAAACAGGGCTGGGGGGAGCTGCTGGGAATCTTTTTACACTTCCCCTATGCAGTGAGGTGTGAGAGGGAGCCCTTTGCAGGCAAAAATTTAAGGGATGCCAAAAACAAAACCTCCAGTCAGCTTAACTGAAAATGTAAAAATCAAGAATGTTTGCATACATGACTTCGTTTCAAGCTTGAATATCTGGCAATTCTTGATTTCTTTCCCTTTTCTAGGCTAAAATTGCAGAAGGCTGGGAAGTGGTGGGAACAGTCAGCAGGCCTGAGGATGTGGAAGATGTTCCTGTCATCAGCTGCTCGGAATTCCGGTGGGACAAACCCGTTATTGTAGTGATAGGTATTTCCATTTCCAGAGCTGTGGGCTGGGTGGGGGTGCAGCTGTGAGGGGGATGCTTCACTCCAGGGATTGTTCCAGGACTGGAAGAGAAAAGCTGAGAGTGAATTAATGGAATGGTCTGGCTGTGAATGAAGCAGGGGCTGAGAGGAATGGGGGGAGCTGAGGGGGCTCCCAGTGGGAACAGTTTGCGTTGATGCACAGGGAGTTCAGCAGCTGTGGAGGGTCTGGGTGCAGATTTGGTGCCAGGGCAGCCACAGTGTGGTGTTTGCATTGTGTTCTGTGTTTTGATCCTGTGCTGGAGCCCCAGATTTGGATTTTCTGTGGTGGTGAGCCCCAAGCTGAGGGAGAGCTCTGGAGCTGCTGCTCAGAGCTGCTCGGGGGGAGCTGTGCCACATTTGCCCTTAAAACCAGGAATGTCTGGTGTGGGAGGAACCACGAGGGGCTGAAGCTGGGCATAGTCTGGATGCAAAGCTGGGCTTTGTAGCCACCCCTGAGAGCAGTCAGGGCACACCTGGCACAGCAGGAGCAGAGGAATCTCCTCCCTGTTGGAGCAGTGGCTGCCACTTCCCTGAGCACCTGAACTGGCAGTTCTTGCTGGGAATTCTGCCCACTCTCACCTTCTGTAGGCACAGTTTGGGCTTGTGCAGCCTCCCAGAAGGTGAAGGGAAGGGGAGTAGCAGCTTTGTGGCAGCTGAAGAAAGAAATTCCCCCAGGAGTGCAGCTCCAGGCACCTGTGTGTGACTGTGCCATGTCCCCCACTCCGTGTCACCTGGCACAGGAGCTGGCTGGAGCTTTTTCACTTGGAAGTAGAGTCCTGCTGGCCACAAGCCAGGGAGGGGCTGTAATCCTGCCCCTTGCTGGGGCTGGCTTGGCTCGGAGGACATTCCTTTAATTAAAATGTTTATTGAACTCCTGGAAACACTGACAAGACAACGCTGCAAATCTGGCATCTCTACAAGATGTGTGGAGCTGTATTCCAGGGGGAGCAGGGAGGCTGGCAGCTCTGCTGATTGCCCACAAAGAAATGCATCCCACAAACGGCGACAGCACCCGGAGACAGGCAGGGGCTGGAAGCGGCAGCAGTGTCGTTACCTTGAGTTATGAGAGATTTCTCCAGGAAAAAGTCCAAATATCCTTTTGTCAGGGGAGATTGGAGGCTGATTGGTAGATGCATGAGGAGAGCTCCTGGACCTTGCAGCAGTAATGATTTCAACTCTCTGCTGAGCACTAACTCTTGGCTGAAAAGAAAATTGAACATTACGTCTGATGCTGGGCTTGTTGGGAGAAACGTCCTGGATCTGAATATGGAGCACTCCTGCAGCTGCAGGGAGCAGCAGAGATAATTCAGCCTGGGATTGAGCTCCCTGGCACCACACAGATTGTCTTGTAAGTTAAGCATTTGCAGCCTCCAGTTCCCCCTCCTGGCATCCTCGCTGGCTTGGCAGAGAGTGATTTGGACAGTCCAGCTTTAATGTTGTCTGCACTGGAGTCATTGCTGGAGGCAACAGCTCAGACTGGGAGCCTGCTGCACACAGGAACAGATTGGGAGCACTTAGATGGCTGAGTAAGAAGAGTTTCTGGGTAATTTGTTCTTCTTAGACCTTCAGTCTTTAGCTCGGGGTTTAAGGCTCTTCACAGAGCTGGTGGTTTTATGGAGATGCTCATTTTGCATATTTTTTTGCTGCTGGGTCTGAATTTCCTGCACTGGAAACTGCAGTTGTCAGTGGTGTTAATTGTAAATGGGGCAGGAAATGTGTTTTGTCATTTCACCAAGCTCTGGTCTTTGAGCTCTGTCAGTGAGGGACAAAGCTGAGAGGTGGAAGTTAAAGATCTGTAGTGGGAAGTGTTTTGTTCACCAGTATAAACCAGGATTTAATCTGATTCAGTCAATACTCCCTCCCTTGTGTCACACTGTGCAAGTCTTTTTGCTCTGAATTTATCGCTCCTAATTATTTTAAGCAGCCAGGCCCATAAAAAGCTTTGTAAAAGCTGGAGGCAAAATCGGTGCCTTTATTGGGAATTGTAAGACCCTTATCAGGGACAGGAGAGGATTTCTCCAGGAGCCATTGCTGCTGTCCCAGTTGGAGAGTCCCGTGGGAGTGTGGTTTGAGAGGCTCAGGAGGCAAATAGGTGTAAAACTTTTCCAGGATACTATTTCTGGGTTTTTTAAGGCATCCCTGGAGCAGTGGTGAGGGGACAGGCAGAGCTGTGTGAGGCCTGGCTTTGATTCCTGGTGTCACCCTGTGACCTTGGGTAACTCCCCCAGGCCTTGTGTGCACTGCTGGCTTACAGCAGGGGGGAGCATTGGTCAGGATGGGCTTAGAGGCTTCTGAAGGCTCACTGACCCCAACCAAAGAGCTTTTGCCATGACTGGGTTCGTCTGGTAAGGTGATGCAGGGTGCATTACCCAAAGCATCCTCTTTTTTACATAGAGTGCATCTTAGATCAGCCCAGTCAAACGTGAGGGGCAAAGAAACTGACTGGGAGTGATGACACTTGCCATCCCTGTGTGGTCAGAGGGATCAGGGTGCCCTGGCAGTGCCCTGGTGTGGGGCTCAGCCAGGCCAGGGCACGGCTGTTGGAGGGGAGCTTTGGCTGCCACGTGCTGGGCCTGTTTGCCAGAGGTGTTTGGGATGAGCTGGCCGTCCTTGCAGCCCTGGAGCTTCCTGTGCTGCTCTAAATAACAATGTGGAAGAACCCTTTGGGGAGCCAGGCGGGCTGGGAGGTCCATGGCCCTCTGCATTCTCACCTGTCTGCACACAGCATTGTTTAAAGCCTCTCCCTTTCCATTTCCCTTTGTGACAGTGTGAGTCAAACAACTCCTAATGACCTGGGATAGATTTCAACTCTGTTTCACCAGTGTATCAGCCCAAACACATCAGGGCTGCTGGCTGGTTTAACAACTAATCAATTGAAGCCTCCGGTTCAACTGTCTGCATGCACAAGTTGCACCCAGGCCGTGGGGGAGTGTGAGTGTGTGCTGGGAAGGCTGGAGCTGTCACTGGCAATAGGGAGCTGGGATTTGCTGGCCTGTGGCTCTTGCCTGCCTTGTCCCAGTGCCAGCAGCCTGTGCCCACAGGAGCTCTGTGCAGCTGTGTTGGACAGATACTCCTCAAAGCCACTCCAGATGCTGGAGAGCAGATCCAGGGAGGGAAGGGAGGAAGGTGCTGGCTCCCCTCTGGTGGCTGAGCTGCTGTGAGGAACATGGTGAGCTTGAGCTGAGCAAGAGCTGCACTGAGGAGGGGGAGAGGACGTGGCAGTGCTGTGAGCTGAGCAGTGTCTCTGTCCTGCAGGGAGTGAAGGGGAGGGCCTTTCCCTGGAGACTCAGCTGCAGTGCCAGCGCATGCTGGCCATCCCCCCGGGCAGGGCGCTGCACCCCGGCATCGACTCCCTCAACGTCTCTGTGGCTGCAGGTGAGAGCTCTTCTGAGCACCAAACCACCCCCAGCTTCTGTATTTAACAATCAAACATCCAGGTCCACTGAACCATTTCCTTGTGCTTTGAAAAAAAAAATTAAAAAATCCCTTAATATTTATTTAGTTTTGTTTCCTACAGGTATCCTCCTGCACTCCATCTGCAGCCGGAGACCAGGGCATGGAGATTGAAATCCTCTGTTTGGTGGAGGAAGCTGCTCAGGGTGGATATGGAAATGCTCTTCCCAGGGTCTCCACCATCACTGTGAGTTCCAGAGAGAGCCCCAGTGACCTGAGCTGCATTTTGGCTGCTGCAGAAGCCACCGGATCCCTGACTAAACACCTGATGTCCTAGGGAACACCTGGGAGGAGCAGCTGTGGGAAGGCAGACAGGTCTGGGAGCAGACAGTTTTGGCAGGAAGACACTCAGGGATGGCTGCCAGCACCGTGCTTTGTGCATCCCTTGAACCCTGGGGACAGTTTGGGTGACAGTGCCACTGAAAGTGCCCTGTGCCCTCCCCTGGGCAGCAGCTGCTGAGTGCCAGCTGAGCTCGGGAACCACTGGGGCTGGTTTTTCTGTATCTGTTTTTAAACCAGGTGTGCAGCCCTGCCAAGGGCTGGCAAACAGCTGCAGTGGGGGGAAATGCAGCCCGTGGAAATAAAGCTTTTGTAAAGATTGGTTGTAGACTCAAATCCATTTAGTGTCATATAAATCCAGAGTGTGATTAGACCTTCAGGTGGGAAGAGGGATCTAGAGCTCATTTCTTTCTGGGGAAGTTTCCTTTCCAAGCTGGGCTGATGGAGGCTGAGGTGCCCCAGGACCACTGTCCTGCTGATGGCACTGGGGTGGCTTCATTTGCAAGTATCCTGCTTGAAAAACCAGGCTGGCTAAATTATTGAGAGCCAGAAGAATGTTATCACTTAGCACCTTAATTATTTTATTTAGCTACCATGGCCCTTTGCATAGGATTCCTCATTAACACTTAATTTACAGTGCCCTTTAGGGATAATTTCAAACAATTCTGCTCAGTCTGCCCCCTCCCCACTTCCAAATGAATAAGTAAATCACTCTGAGTGACTAATTAGAACTTTCCTTTGAGCTAAATGAAGTCTGTAGGCCTTGGTCTGGGGGTATTCCCTGTGTGTCCTGGGGACACTCCAGGTGCCTGGGATGGGGCACAGGGCATGGAGCTCCTGAAGGGTGTCCAGGGCTCCCTTCTGTGGCTGTGGTGGACAGGACAGGAGGGTGCCTGGGGTGGGGACACGGCCCCTGAGCTGGGTCCTGAGGGGGACAAATCCCAAATCCCTCTGGAACGACACCATCATACCAACAGGGCTGTTACCTGAATCCATGGGAGCTGAGCAACCCTGAACTGCTGCGGGGACTGAATTTGCCCTTTTTTCTGGTTTAAAGCTGAAAGGAAAGGGCTGCAGGCCTGGAGGCCTCCAGCAGCCCTGTGGAGCTGCTCAGCAGCTGAGGCTGCCCCAGCAGAGGGTGCCCGTGGCTCAGATTTGCTCATTTTCCAGAGGAAAGATCCCAAGCTTCAGCACTTGGCTAACTGAATCCTTCCTCTGGAGCAGCAGGGATCAGGGTAAAGCCATTTCTTCATTCTTGACCTACAGGTAAGTATATTTATTTCCCATCTCATAGGAACTGCTGTTTCTCCCTTTTTATTTCTATTTTTTTTTGAGTTTGTCTCAGCAGTGGGGAGGCTCTTCCTGGCTTTGTGTGGCTGGGAAAGCCAGGCTCTGTCAGGCTGTGCTTGGCCATCTGCTCAGCCCCTCTAACAAGGAGGCAGCTGAGGAGCCCTGCAGCAGCTCCTTTGCTTCTGGAAGGCTCCCAAAAAGCTTTGGAACCTCTGTATCCACTGCAGTGGGAGGAGAAGCTCCTGCTTGGCCATCAGCACTCTCCTGTGAATTCCCCATCCTGTATCAGTGGAGCACCTTGATTTGGCACTGAAGCATCAGACAAGGCTTTTGGGGAGTTGCCTGAGCTTGAGTTTTAGGATTTGAGTGCATAACTTGGGCTGCAGCTCGGACTTTGCTGCTTGTGAGGGCACTGAATCCCACTCTGGATGGCTCTGCTGTTCCCACTGCTCTCATTTCCCTCTCTGGTAAGTTTTAGCCCCATTTTTTCCCTCAGGGATCCACCTGCAGTGACTTTTGGATGGAGCTGATGCTTTGTCCTCCTGCCCCAGCCCCATCCTGAGGAGCATGAGGACCTCTGCACTCTCCTACCTTTGGAGCTGGAGCTTTGTGCTGTGCCATTTGCCCCTGATCTAATAAATGCAATCCATTAATTGGATCATTGCCTGCTTCTCCAGTTAATTTCCTGGGTATTTTTAAATGTTAAAATGTAGTTTTTATAGTCTTTCATTATTTTTAGCCTTAAGCTTGACTATAATCGTCCCTGTAATGTAACTGTAAAAAACTCCCAGCTTTATATCATAAAGGGGGACATTAATTGTCAATTCTTGTGTACATCAGCAAGATCAAAACAGGTTTCCTGATGACTTCTGTTTGTACATAGACTCTCTTTGATATTTAGATATGAATAAAGCGTGTGTGTGTGTAATTTGAAAGTCAATTCTTCCCTCCCTGCTGCTTGTCATGGATTCCTTCCAGAGGCTTATTTACCAAATTGATTTTAAAATTTACTAATTGCCCTTCCAGAATGATTTCTCAATAATCAAAGTGTCTGTAAGCACAGTGGCAAAATATTTGTCCTCCTTGATTCAGGAGATGAATTCAGCGCTGGCGCTGCCTTATCTTCAGCCAGGGGAAAAAACAAATCTTCCCATCTCCAAAAACCCACCCCGGGGAGCTCTGGCTGTGAGAGCAGCTCAGCTCCTGCCCCACATTTCCCTTTTGTGCTCAGGGTATCACCATGACTGGAAAAATCCCGTTCCACCCAATCCAACCACTGGAAAAATCCCGTTCCACCCAGTTCATTGCTGGCTCCCAGTGATATTTTGGGGGCTGGAGTGGCTCTGGGACAGGGGACACCTTTCCCTCTGCCAGCCCAGGCTGGTGGCAGGGGAAGGGAACAGCCTGGGAATGCTGCTGGAGCTGGGAATGCTGCCCACGGGGCACCTCCGGAATGCGCAGCCCCGATCCCGGTTTGTAAATGTAATCAACCTTGAGGTCTTGTTACTTCCACAGGTGCAATTAACATCACCATCTGCTAATCCGTGATTAACGATGTTTACAAATACGCTACAACACAGTGAAATGTGCTGGCACTCTTCAGGCTCTTTTTTCCCTTTATTTTTTTTCCCTCCCTGCTCCAGCACAGGAGGGATTGCCCATGGAGTGCTCCCCCTACCCCACCATTAATCCACAGACATTTTACATTTTCCTTATTTAAAAGTGCTGTTCAAACTCCAAACCAGCTGCAGGAATGACGAGTTCAAATCAGAAGGTCAGTGCTGCTAAAGGGGATTTAATTGCACGGGGGTTGAGGTGCAAACTGATGAATCTGAATAATAAAACTTTGTGGGGAGCAACATATGGTGCAGTTTAAAGTAAATTTTTATCGATCATCCCACAACTGATGTGTTAATGGGATGGGAGCCTTTGCTTTGGGTTTGATATCGATGTGGAGTTTTAATAATGTCACACAGGAATATTGTGGAGAGGTTTATAATTTAAAATAATAATAAAAAAAGAGTGTTTTCTATTAACTGCCTTCTTCTTTTCCAGGAGAGAGGAATACATTACAAGGCTGCTGTGTGTCCTCCAGATCTAGGTTACATGTAATTGCTCAGTAATTGGTAGAACCATGTAAAAGCCATGGTATTTGCCAGTAAACCCTCCTAAGTTACCATGAAATTGAAATGTGATATTTATTCTCTACAAAACCGGCTGCCCAAACGCTGTGTGGGATCTGCTGGTCAGTGCAGAGGGGCTCCTGCAGGAAAGGAGGATCCTTCAGCCTCCTTGGGCTCCAGCCTCAGGATTGTCCAGGGAATCCTGGAATGGTTTGGGTTGGGATCATCTCATTCCACCCTGTGCCGCTGTCCCAGGCTGCTCCAAGCTGGGGTGGGGCAGCCACAGCTGCTCTGGGCACCTGTGCCAGGCTCACCACCCTCACAGGGGAGCACTTCTTCCTCATATCCCATCTAAATGACACCTATTAATGATCTAATAGCTATAGATTAGAAATACTAATAATCTAATAACCCATCTAATTATTACAGCTGTTCCAAGGCCCATGATGGAGGCTTGAAGCTCTCATGTTTTCAGTGGGCAGGGAACAGTAATTGCACTAAAGATGTTTTTTTGGAGATTAAATATTTCCCAGTACATTTGGGATACCTCTGTGGGTCACCTGTATTTTACCTTCTTGTTAAGCAGGACATCCAAAACTGTTCCCAGCTTGGCAATTTCCATGATTTAACCTCGACTTTGATCTGCAGAGCTCCAGCCCTCACTCAGAGCAGCCCCCTCAGGAATTTTTTCCTCCCAGGTGAGCGATGGCTCCGTGGCCCTGCTTTGAGCAGAGCAGCAGTGATTGCCTCACCCATGATCAGGAGTTTTACACTTTAAAACTGTGGCAGTGTGCTGGGAATTGATGCAAAGTGAAACCTGCTGAGTTGGAACGTTGTTAGCTGGCCTGCTTTTAGGATGTGATGGGATGTGACCATCCCATCCTGCACACCCCTGGATCCACCCCTGCTCCACCAGGCCAGGGACACACTTATGGCAAGGTTTGGGATGGTGTCACATGTGAAACGTGCCTGACAGGGAGTCACAGCAGGGAGAGTCACCCCTTTCCCACGGGGATCACTCCTGGAACACCAGCTCCACCCCAGGGCATCTTTGGGGCGAATCGAGCTCTTCTCATCCCTGCTCCAAGCCCTGGCACAGCCTCATCCCTGCTCCAAGCCCTGGCACAGCCTCATCCCTGTCTGCTGAGGATGGAGCAGGTTGGAGCCACGAAGGCACCTTGGGGTGAGCAGCTGACCCCGCAGGGAGGTTGGGAAGTGGGGAACAGCTGAAGAGAAGGGGGGGCAGGAGTCCTGGATTCCCTGGCAAGCACAGCTCATTCCAGCTGCATCCCAAACCTTCTGCTGGAGATTGCATCTGGGCCTAATATGCATTTTTATATAAACAAGGGTACTAAATGGCCTTTCACTTCCCTCTGTAATGCCTTTTTTAATGGAAGGTCCTGAATTAAGAACATATATATATATGACTCGAAGAATTTTCTAAGTGATATTGAAAACCTATTGTAGAGCAGGATTTCTCCTTGCAAAATTATTTTAATGAGGTTCCAGTTTATTTTCTGGCTGTATTTTACTTATTTAATCCTCCAGAGGGGCTTTTCAGAGGCAGCATCTCATTTTCAATGCAACTATTCTTAACATTAGGGAAAACTACCTTTCTGAAATGCATGAAGGGAAAAAAAACCCCGAACCAGAGGAAGATGTACGAGATAAGAATAAACTTGAAAAGCTTTGAGGTGGTTTATGGCTTCTCTGGAAAGAATAACAGTTCATGTATTTTTGTTATGGTGTGGTTTAATGATGCTTGCAGAAAAAAGATAAGGTAGGAATGGAAATATAAAATTAAACCAGCAAAGTGAATGTGATTATTTTAGTTACCAGTATTACCTGGGGAAAAGGCTCAGGGGATTTTTTTATCTAGACTAAATATTTGCTTTTCTAAGAGGAAAGGGCCCTCTGCATCTCCTGGCACGAGGGTGGGAAGGGGAATTCTCCTGAGGTCCAGAGGAAGGATGAGGATGGATGGAGCCCTGGCTGTGCCAGTGCTGGTGTCCTGGGAATGGGATTGGCACCACTGCCAGTGGTGAGGATGAGATGACCCCAAAAGGGATTTCCCAGCCTCACCCTGTGCCCTGAGCAGGGTGGGGAATAGGGGAGGCACAGGGGGATGGATGTGTGCACCCAGCATGGGCCTGAGCTGAGCATCCTGGATCCTTCCCTGGGATCTAGGAATGGCTGATTCCCTGGGAGGCATCATCCCCATCATCCCCATCATCCCCATCATCCCCATCATCCCCATCATCCCCATCATCCCCATCATCCCCATCATCCCCATCATCCCCATCATCCCCATCATCCCCATCCCGTCCCATCCCATCCCATCCCATCCCATC